CTTTTTCATCCCGGTTTCTTCCCCTCACGACCTGATGACTCTTGTCAGTTGATTGATGCACACAAACTGAAACTAGCCCCTATTTTTTGCCGTTTCTTATCTCGGACGATGAACTCCTGTAAGAGTTCGAAAGCTCAGGATAGTAAACAAAGTGATCCGGCGCTCAACCATTCTTCGTCCTTACCCATGCAATTACCTGGAAAGCGAACGTTCTCATTCACACCTAAGAAGGTATAATGAGCTGAGTTAGACGGTAGAAGTTTCTTTTTAACGTGAAAAAGTTTGCGGTAACCAAAAGTAAAACACAGCGCACAGCTGTATCGAGGTTAGTTTTCATGAAAATGTTTTCAAAGCCTAAAAAATCCGAGCATAGAGAGCCGTGGAATGTATAGTGTCACAGAAAGAATGCTCACAGAACCGCCAAGTCAATTTATCGATAGGGATAGCGTATTTGGCCCCAGCTATATTGTATTCCTAGGGCATGCCTACGTGGTTTATTTACGTAGGCGTGATATTTTAGAGTTAATTTTGCGTTTATTGTCAAGTTTGCTGTGAGGTTTGGGGTTGGATTATGTTTGCCTGCCGCATACTGTTTTATCCAATCCGAAAAACAATAGATACTATTATAAGTTGCCTTCTTACTTCAGTTTATGCGTTCCTAATTTCAATTTAATTGGAATAGTAAAACAAACATCTGAGAGGAATGGGAGTGTTCCCGATGCCTTCAGCACATTCGGTTACATCTATCCAACCCCTCATAGCATCTTTATCAACATCCTTCCTGTAGCACAGTAATCCTCATGCTCCAATATTCAGGTGACGCCGTATACCTGCGTATTGCCAATCTCACCGAGGGGAAGTCAATGCGGTCCATTAATGCATCTTGCCAATTCGATAGAGGGACGTCCGAATGTTATGCTTCCAAAATGCTTTAGTACACGGGACTTTAGACAACAAGAATAACTTCATGTTGGAATTGCGTTTGCCGATCAGGTCGCGGGAATATCTTTTTAATACCAGCTCGTTTTGGTGAGTATGCTGACGTTTCCATGTCTGCCACTACTTCGGAATTTATGGTCCTTTCAGGGGCATCAGAATAACAGCGCTGCGGTTAATTGCAAACCGATATTAACCTTCGATCATCTGCACTAAAGGCAAGGTAGTGCGGTTTTACTATGTTTCCTTGGTGACAGAAAGAGTTTCAGATTATGAGTTTTGTTAAGCAACTACCATGGGTAGCTGCTATTTGCATTTAACACCAGCAGGCTTTTTCGAATTGTAAAAGTTGCGTGGATGATGTCTCTGAAAAAAAATGAA